TATCCAACTTTGATTCTTATTTTTTACTTTTATACTGTGTGTATGATCTTACTGTTTTACACCAATGTAAACAAGTGATCTTATATGTGAGTTGGGTGCAGTTCCACGTCTCTAATATCCCTGTATACGGGTTTACCATTTTTATCATAGGAATGCAGTTCTCCCGGAGATCTGCCTTCTTTCCCCTGAAGAAGCCCCTTCTTGGGGGCGAAACATGTAGGGACCTATAGGAGCGTTTACATCATCTGAAAGTAAGTTACCGCATATCTTGTAACCGCACGGTATTGTCACCTAACGGTGAACCTGCATATTCAATATGTATTTTTATTAATGATATATATTTTTATTGATGACATGATTTTGTACTTTATTTTTTGGTTCTAAATTATGTATACAACAATTTAGTGAATAAATGTTTTTCTAAGACTTTTATATACGAGGTCTGGACTGGTTTCTAAAAAGCCCCCTTTTTTCTCCCCACTGGGTCCTTGCACAGCCCACTGCGGAAACAATCTGTTCCTTTGTATAGGAAGATATAATGTTTGCCTGTATAAATATATTGAAAAAGTCAACGATTTCCATGGGCTGTACTTACTTTTAACATGACTGTATATCCTACATTTTATATTTACCTCTTTATGTACAAAATACTGTACTTTGCCTTTAACTCCTTTGTGCCAGCCATCTGTATATAAAAGTTCCCTAGGCTGATGCCTAGTGCCCACTTTGCAGAGCATCAGTTGACATGGCTGACATCGGTAGCATGTGACTCTCAGTCATGACTTTTAGTAACAGTTCTGGATTTCACTGATGATCGGGAACCAATCTGGCCCATTAGTGATAACTATAGCAGTCATTTCAGCTGTTCACAGCTTTTCAGTATGCTTGCTAGAGTTTCATGACCCACAGCCAGAACTTTGAACCTAGACTGGTTGACACAGCTGTCTTAATTGCTCCACTGTGCATGCAGCTACAGAGTCCAGTGAGAGCTTGTTCAAAGCCCATGTATTGCTTGTTAAGAATACATACAGTAAATGCTTGCATGTCCATAGGTGGTCACATACTCAATTTAAGTCCCTGCATTTTTAGAAAATTTCATTAGAGTTTAAAAAAAAAAAAAAAAATGAAACTGGTAAAACATTTTTATAAACTTCTAATATATTGTATAGCATTAATCTAGAATACATGTAGACATGTCCATGTAATTTATGGCTTTGCAAGCGTCAAGATCAGTCAAGTGAAGATTTGTAAAAGGTTTAGCATGCTTTGCTTTTATAAGCTCTATTTTGTAGAAAATTGTACTTTCATTTTACTTAGGGAAAAAAAGATTTAAAAAAAACACAGATTTATAAAATCTTCTGCATATACCACTCAAATAGAAAATAGATTAATTTTACAAATTGAAAAGTCTCTGAGAGTGAAGCTCTGTACTTCAGTGCAGTCAGATCACAAAAGAAATGAAGTCACTGAAATTGTAAAGATTTACAATAGAATGCTATAAATTTTCAACCCAATTTTTTTTGGTTCTGCAATGTTTGAAACACATGTTTTATGATTCTGACTTTTAGGTCTTCCCTAGGAATATGGGATATGCTTTAGAATTTTTAAAAGTTAGTCATCACAAAGAAAAAAGATCGAGATTATACCTTTTTCTCATTTATATTCCTAATGAGAAACAGCTTAAAGAGACACTGTCACTTTATCCATTCTGGGTAAATTGACAGTGTCTTTTTAAAAGTCCCTCCTGAACCCCTGATGCTCATACGCAGGGCTTAGTGACCCGCTGGATGCAGGGCTTAGTGACCCGCTGGATGCAGGGCTGAGTGACCCTCTGGGCGCAGGGCTTAGTGACCCGCTGCACACATGGCTTAGTGAGCCGCTGGATGCAGGGTTTAGTGACCTGCTGGACGCAGAGCTTAGTGCTTAGTCTGGTCCGGGCTGCATCCCCTCCCTCCCTCCTTCCTAGCTTCTCTTACCTGCACACCAGGCCTCCTCTGCCGCTGGACTGGCCGGAAGTGACGTCACGAGCAGCGTCGCTGATGGGGCCCCAGCTTGTCTCAAAGTCGCTGGAGCGGCAATGCTGGGGCCCTGCGCTGCTAGGGCCAGGCCTCCACTGCAGGGGCTCGTCCGCCTCCTCGTTCTTCACCATCGGCCGATACTCATGTAAGGGTCCCGGGCGGGCCCCCCAGGCTGCCCAGGCCCCTTACATGAGTATCGACCGTACCCCCCTGATGGCTACCCTGATCATAGCCATCATCAATACCTCATATTTCCTACTATGCAGAGCATACAACCTCCTTCCATCTGACAGTGCTCAGGTCTAGCAGCCAATTGTTAAGCCCAAGCACTGCTATATTACCAAGGGAGTGATGCCACAAGTCCTCTTAGGGTTTCACACAAGTGTAAACACTAGGGATTCTAGTGCTGTGATGGAGGAAGAATTGTCAAAGGAATGCTGACAAGGTAAGTTTAAGGGATTTTTTTTTTTGGGGGGGGGGTTACAAAGACACTAAAGCTGGCCATACACCTATAGATTATCTGCAGATTTTCTATGGTCAGATGGAAAAAGTGCAACAGATTCCTCCATCTCCACTAAACTTTGTGAATGGAGGAATCTCCAACTGGGCTTGCTTGTTAGCCCTGCTGGCTCTCAAAATATCTGAAAAATCTGATTGGATGCAGGCTGTTCAGGTGTTTTGAGAGCCAGCGGGGGTGACTAGCATGATACTGAAGCGTGGCCCAGTGGGAGATTCCTCCATCCACACAGTTTAGCAAAGATGGAGGAATCTGTTGCACTCTTTCCATCTTATATAGAGAAAATCTGCAGATAATCTATAGTTGTATGGCCTGCTCTACACTTTGCTCTCCATGGGAAAGGTATCAATGTCTCGTTTAAGAAAATCATTTCTTATCTTTTTTTAGAAACTTTAACAATGTTTCTCAAAGTATGAAATGCATACTACTAGTGGTGCATATGCTCACTCTGTGTGACACAAGGCAAAACTTGGCATTTAAAAGGAGAATTCGATGTAGCCCAGCAAACTCTTTATTTGGGAATACTTTTTTTATTTCAGCAGCACAGCAGTGCTTGGGATGTTTTTCTTTTTTGTTGTGTTAATGCAGTAAAAAAGCTCCCTTGCTGGCTTGCCTAAGTGATGCATCCTTACCTGTGAAATTGGCACTTACAGCCTAATATAATGGGTTTCCAAGGCAAGTATGTTTTTCTCATACCAATGTGGGAGTCCAAAGAATGAACCACTTATCTAGATTAAGGACATTTTCAACTGTACTATGATGGTGGGAATCCACTAAATAAGCTCAGAACAGTGAATCTTAAAAGGATATCATTACGTTGAAATTGATGGACTTGTGCTGTTCAACCTAGCTACCTATTTAACTATGCAACTATCCATTCACTAAATGACTGTTGAATTATCTCTGTTTAGAGGCTATATTCATATATAGCTAAAACTGTGCATACAAATAGCATCTGTTGCTCAGATAGCTCCAGTTAACATTCATAGGGCAGAAGAAAAGGATTAACATGTATGGAGTAGCCCTTAGGGTTTGTGTAAACCATTCCTGCACAAAAGAGGCTGATTAAAATGCAGCTGTCCATAGGGTTTAATATATCCAACAAGTGACATGGGTGAGCTCCACTCAGTTTCCTTCATACGAAGCTTGGAGCAAACAGAAATCAGGCACACTGGAAGCACCTGTCTGTGTGAACCACTACATACAACATAAAATAATGGACTACATTTTGTGCAGATCTTTGTTACATTTCTCTGTGAATTTGATTGTTTGTCTTACCTCTGCCTTTCTTCTAATTCCAAAAGCTTTTGAACATCACTCTTGGATGATGCTTCATTGTTTTTCGTGGACTAGGAAGGGAAAAAAAAAATTTTAACTGTGAAAATAAGAGTGTAAACTCTGTGAAACAATACACACGTGTGAACTGGAAGTCAAATCAAAAAGAGAATATTTTATATGTTATAGGGGAAATTTTTGAATTGGTATTGTGCCTAAGCAGTACACTGAAATCTACAGGCACTGCCTAGGCACTCCCATGTCTACAGCTGTATATGTCCATTGTGAGATAAAGCAAATGTGCCTCTGACTGCCAGTCTCAGGAGATTTGAACTGAGATTTGCTGATATTATTACTGTGCTGCTCACTGTTCTGCTCGCTGGAGACTGACATGAGTAAGCAAAGCCTTGCTTCTACCAAGATGGATGTCTCCACACAGAGACACAGTGCAGAACAAGGAATGGTAAGTCAGTATTGGATAAAGATCAGCTGCAGGAAGACCAAAGGCAATACTGCTGACTAGTCATTGGCCCTCTGCCTGGTTTCTTTTGGCACAACTTTACCAGTTCAGTTTCTCTTTAACCCTTTCACTGCCACCGACATATGTCATATATCGGCAACAGTGGCAGCATGTACACAAACAGCCAACTATTGACTTTCTACTGAAAATTATTTGGGCAACTGTAAAGTTACCAAATCACTTCCATGTGTGCAGTAAGTAGGGATGGGCTGGATGTTCGAGGCAAACAAGAGATTGGGGGTGATTTACTAACCTAAACACACGCACGCACCAGGTGCGTGTGATTTTTACACAGCAAAGCGTATTTATCAACCAAAAAGTCTCTATAAGCATATTTCCACTAATGCCATATATGGAAAAATCATGCACATGATGCATATATAATGCTGCTTAACAGATTAGACAAAAATGGTTAGCTCATGCATTTACATTCCTGCATTCATCAACGGAAGCAACACAATGTAGAGCTAATTTACACAACATCACCTTGCAATTCAGGGCAGGGCTTTGCACAACACACCTGCTGGGTGTGTACACACTACAAAGGTGTTTAGATTCCACCCATAGATCATGCTGGGAGGGAACACACTACAGAGGTGTATACATGTTCGTGGTGTGTTTATAAGGTTAGTAAATCAACCCCTTTGACTCAAACATTGCTAGTTTATGTGTTCGGCGAGCACTCAAACTATCAGGGCGTTTGGTGGACTGTTCACCCGCAAGCGCCACAAGGTACTGCGCACCGCACAGTGCATTGTTAAGCCCTGATTGGCTAAAGCCTTGCACCTGACCACAGATCAGGTACAAGACTTTGCCCAATCATGGCACAGTGCACTGAAAAGCTATGATTGGGCAAAGTAATGATTACTTTTCCCAATCATGGCTCACCTGGTGCCATACAATTGTAAACAGTTGGGAGGAGCTAGCTAGCTGTCACCCCTAGATCCGCCCAATTGTTTATATTTTGCCGGCATCTGTCAGAATGCCATTTTGCAGCGGGAGTTCTTCGAGAGTGGATGGGTTGGCAGGCAGAGTTTTTTTTAATTATTTCTATTTATTTTTTCTTGTTTCATTTTTTATTTCCTCAAGTTATCATCAAGGACAATGCTGGACGTTGTGATTGGCACTGGATTACGTTGGTGGATCCATTAAAAAAAATAAAATAAAAGACTTGTCAAAAAAATGTCTTTTGTTTTTTGATATGTAACGTGTGTAGCGCAATTGTAGTTTTCGCGTGCTGGTGCACCGGACGCTTTTTTACGTTTATATGTGCGTAAACGTGGGGGTGGGGGACTTAAGAATTTTTTTTTTTTTAAACTTTATTTATTTATATTTATTAATTTTTTTACACGTATTGTTATTGCTATTACATAGAGGAATAACAATCCCCCTATATAATAGCAAAGGCACACTGACAGGTCCCCTTTATGGAGACTTTAGGGGTCTTCTAGACCCCTAATGTCACCTGGGGATCTGCTTCATCAGCTTCTTCTCTCTGGCTATATATATATGTAATACACATCACTTCTGCATTCACAGCACGGAGGAAGGTCATTAAGGAGGAAGATGCTGATCTCCCTCCCATCTTACCTCCTGACACCCTCCCAAGCTCCCAAGCCGGTTCCAGGCTGCAGATGGGGCAGCGGATCCCAGGATTGAAGGGGAGGGGTCAGGAGGGAGCGCAACGGCGGCGGCAGCACTCGAGGGGGGGCACGCAGCCAGCACATATACATGATCGGCAGGCTATAGAACCGCCGATCGGGTATATGTGAAACAGCTGGTAACGGCTCTTCACATTGGACGGGTTTTTTCTGCCCGTGCGCTTGCTAGGGGGCGCGTGCGAGCAGAAAAAAAATGCCGTCTGTGGTGTTTTTATTTTCATTTTATTTTAACCCTTTAGTGAATGAGTAGAGGTGAATGTACAAGTACCCCTTGCTCATTCACAAGAGGGGTGCCACATCTGGGTGCCCCTTTATTAAAGGGTCACCCTGATGTGAATAAGCCCCCCTGCCCGAACCCCCACAACCAACGCCCCAGGGCTTGTGGGGCTTGTGGGGAAGAGGCCTTTGTCCCCATTGGCCCTTGTCGACATCGGGGCAACCCTGGAAAAGCACCCTCCCAGTTCCAAGGGCATGTGGCCTGGTAGGGCAGGGAGGGGGGCTGGTCGCTCGTCCCCCCCTTTCCTGCCCTTCCAGGCCTTTGCTCGGATCAAGAGTCTGGTTGGCAATTTTTTTGGGTGTGGGGTTCCAGTGAAGAAAAAGTACAGTGAAGAAAAAAAGGCATACTGTAGATATCAAGGGACATAAACGGTGTTATTTGCAGGTTTATCAGATTAAAATAAATAGAAAAAGCCTGAAGACAGAAAACTAATGTTACCACCACAAGACTGGTAAACTGCAATATATTAAATGATATTAAATGTAATATATATATAATGAAATAAATTGTATTAAATATCCTTTTTTTGGGTTTATATACACTTTAAACATGAAAATGCACCCTCACTGCAATCATCCTTACCTGGTGATTTCCTTTGATGCCCTCCAGTTCCTTGGACGTTTTGGAAAGTTGCCGGAGGATGCTACTTCTCTCCATGAAAACCTCTTTGAGTTGCTTTTCCAGGTCATCGTAGCCCTGTCTAGCAAGGAAAAGACATGAGTCAGTTACGTATCCTTCATGGTGACTAATTCACCAATGATATGGTAAACAGAAAACACAGTGTCCAAACAACATGAAAAGGTTATACTTGTAACGCTAACATCAATCTGTCATCTTGGTCAAAGTACATGTGCATATTGGACGAAATACAAAGTTCAGCTACTGTCATAAATCAAACTTTGTCTCATAACCATTTTTCATTCTTTATTATCAAGTCCAGAAGCTCAGAAGAAAAACATAAAAACGGCAAGCCTTGTAAATAAAAACAGATCATTCTCTCTGCGAGCAAAAACCTTGAAGGATAGGTCCATGAGATTAGAGCTCTAGCATAAAATTGTGCCGTTTATATACTGTATCTAGCCATCTATATATCTATGTAAGACTAAAATATGCGGAGGCTCTTAACAGATAATAACCTTTTTACATTTCTCCCTGCCCTTAAGAAATCCAATTTACCACTAAGTATACTGTACTTTAGGGATCTATGAGGAAATCTAACCTAGGAAGAGTAGATAAACTGTAGACAATGCAAAAAGCTATTTAAGAAACGCTGTAATCCAGATCTTAACATGAACCTGCCATTAGAAAAATATAGAGCTTACCATTGCTGACCTTCTTCTGAAAATGCTAGTTACCTGGATGTTATGCTGAGCTATTGGCTTTATAATTTTGCTAAGTCACTGAGCTAGAATACGTATGCAAATAAAAAAATCTGGCGAAAAACCATTAGTCAATCAAAGTCCATATACTGTATATGCATATTTGCTCAAAGTCAGTGGCTTAAAGGAGTTGATTTTCAGTGAATGTTCACTTTGATTGGGTATTTAAAGTGAACACAGGTTCACCTTATTTACTTATGAATTACTTGGCAAAATGGGCATACACTGTTTGAAATGAACTTTCACTTTGCTAAACAAACAGCTTCACCTTTTTTAGTAAATCAACACCCCATATTAATGTCACCCTGTCACCGCATGGTCTTTTCCAGCTATTAGGTAATCTGTAAAAGAAGCCTGAATATACTAACCTTTCCAGCAGCCTGTGTATTTAAAAACTGCCTTTCATTTACATGTTCAGGTGTGTAGGATACTTGCTCTCCCCGTTAGTTGGCTGATACCAAATTACAGGATGTATGAACCTCCCATTGGCTGATACCAAATTACAGGATGTATGAACTGGCAGGAAGAAGCAGGGCAGCCTGCAGGGAGAAAAAGTATATGACCCATCTGATGGTCAAATAGTTGCAGGAGCTGGGAAGGGGAGATGCAGTGGCTTTTCAATACATGGGCCACTGGAAAGGTGAGTATATCCACATTTGTTTTACAGGTGACCTGTTGGGTAAAAGTAGAAAAATGTCACCAGCACACCATGAGGTGAAAAAGCAAAATATTTTATTGCCAATAGCTGTATCTCATTGGCAAGCGCTTTCGGGGCCTCACAGGGTCCCCTTCATCAGGCTTAGAGGGGGACCCTGCGAGGCCCCGAAAGCGCTTGCCAATGAGATTTTAGAATTTAGAATAAAAGCTGAAGAAGGATATCCTGACTTAGTGCAACCACACAGTGAATTTCCTGAAGAATATTTTTTGTTGTTGCATTCATATGCTGGAAAAGAGGAGTATTGACTAGATTGCTGGCTGTCTTTGAGGAACCTTTAGGGCCAGTGCACACCTAGGTGATTTATTGCACGGTTTGAGTCGCACGATATCGCTCAAAAGACAGATTTGCATTGAAGTCAATGGAAGCTGCTCACACCTTTGCGGTTTGTCGCACGACCGAAATTGCCTGTCGCGTGAAAAGGTGCAGGAGCTATTTTCGGTGGTTGTCGCACGGTTTGGGTCCGATAGACATCTCTATGCATTGAAAAATGTGCGACAACCGTGCAGTTTACAATGAACAGTCACACGATCGAGAACGCACCAAAACAGCTTGACATCTGAATCGCCTAGGTGTGAACCTAGCCTTACAAAGGCACAAAAACACAGATCAGATACTGCTTAAACAGCTAAGTAATTTAAACACACTGGTTTTAAATCAGTTGAAATTATTTCATGGTACACATATCTACAGACCAGCAATATATCCCTCAGGATCCTCTATTTTAACCTAGTGATCCTGCCAGTAACACATATCTTGTCAGAGTCATAAGATAAGGAAGTGGCCTTGTTGGTTTTTCACCCCTCACCTCACCACATTTATTTTTCACAATTTTATTTGAACTTAATTGAAGTGTAAATTACAAGTACACGACAGCTAGTCTTGGGACTTGTCTGCTGGCTTTCTTCTTTTATTTCATGGGGAGTAATTGAATGGGGTTGCAGCTGCAGCTGAACATAGAGAGAAACAGCTGATCACTGGTGACTAACAATTTGAAAGGAAAATCAAAAGCTCATTATGAAGTATACTTAACCTTACACAGATCTATCAGTTAGGCCTGGTTCACAACTGGGCATTTTACAGCGCGTTCCTACACGCTGTAAAACGCTCAACATGTGAAAACCAATGATTGCCTAAGGGCATGGTTCCCACCTGGGCGTTTTACAGCATGTAGGAATGAGCTGCAAAACGCCCTATGCACAAAGAAGTACTGGAGCCTCTTTGGGGCGTTTTGCCGCATGTTTCCATCGGTATTCCCGAGTGTGGAGAGAATAGAGAAAATAAAGGGAAAAAAAATAAAAATCATGCCGCCAGTGAAACGCGCGTTTCACTGAACGAAAAAACGTGGAAAAAAACGAGCTAAAAAACGGGCTGAAAAACGAGCATTAAAAAAATGCTCAGGTGTGAACCCAGCCTTAGGGTTTGTAGTGGTTTTATCTGCAACAGCGGGTTGTGAACTTCCCATCCACCTACCCTGTTGCAGTTTATCCTTAATAGGGGTTATGTCACTGACTTTGTGGGTGGCTATTGATTTACATGATTTTTTAATGGTCACTTTTGTTTGATCTACAAGCTTTTAGTAAGCCTAGTGGTTAGGTAATACCATGGTTGAAAAGTGTTTATAACACTCTAAGATTGTCAATTCTATTTGATTTATAGTATTTGAGTCTTAAAGACTAAGATTATGGTTATGCAATGTTACTGCTTAAAGGGTTATAAAGTTAAACTAAAGCTGGCCATACACCTTACAATTATCTGCAGATTTTCCGTGGTCAGATGGAAAAGGTGCAACAGATTCTTCCATCTACACTTAACTGTGTGGACGGAGTAATCTACATCTGGGCCAATCTGTTGCACTTTTTCCATCTGACCACAGAAAATCTGCAGATAATTGTAAGGTGTATGGGCAATTTAAAAAACCCAAATAAAGTGCTGCAGTCAAACTTTTCCACATGCATATGTCTGTTTCATTATGTTTTATGTGCTGCTTATATTGTGCATTTTAAGGTGCGGTGATAGTGGTTGTGTACAATCTCATGTACTAGGGTGGCAATGCTCAATCACTGTACTGTACCTATAGAAGTAAATTCACTTCAAAACAAGATCTCAATTACCTCTGTAGCTAAAGGCATCATGGAGAATTAAAATCACAGCTCATTTACCCTTTACTTTCCATTGCTGCAGAATCCTGGTAGGCTGCCAGTTTTCTAATGCAAACACAAGGTGCTAGAAACTGACTGAAACACAATTTTACAATCTTTGTTGTGATCTTTGAGGATGACGTACTTTACTGTACAAGCAGCTAGAGAGCTCAGTGAGATCTTGTTTTAAAGCTCATTTACTGCTTGTTAAGAATATGCAAATACCTAAATGTCTATAGCCTGTGCAAGGAGCACATTAACTATATGGCCATCCACTGTATAAACATATCTATAGCACATTGCTAATCTAACATATCACATTTTTTTTCATGATTTGTCAAAATGCCTTTTATCTTTCTAACAACCTTTTTCCTTTTTTTTCTTAAGAAGTAACATGTCTCTTTAGATTCAGAGCTATAAAAAAAGTCCATATTATCATTGTTACATGACAATAAAAACTCCTGCTTAGTAATTGGATTTTTTTTAAACCCCCATCCCCAAAGATTTCCAAAGGAAATTGTAGCTAAAAGACGTGTTGCTTTTATATCAAATAGAAATAACATAGACATATAGAAATATAATTGTGGTTTCCGGGACCCTGTGGGAAGGGACTATTGTACACTTTCTATGTAGACACAACTCTGAGAGTACTTTAGAAATGCATAGTACAAAACTGCTTCCCACATAGGGTTAGAAATAGAACTCAATTTTTAAATATTTTACATTCTCTTGAGGTCTTGCGTTTTCTACATATACTGTATATACATATTCTAAAACGTGTGCTTTAAAATATGGCCTTGGATTCCACCAGTCAAATAAGTAAGAGTGGAAATCTCTACGGGAGTCACAGATTCAATTTCTTCTGTTTCTTTCAATCTTGTTGTGTAAAGATTGAGCAGGATTGCTTGAATGCCAAATCAGATTTTCTGTCCTGGAGTTTGTTGGGTCAGAACAAAATAACAACCATGCAGAAAGAGGGTCATTAAAGGTGTACATTAGTCAAAGCTGAGAATTACACCTTGAGGTGCATAAATTGAGCACAGCCTAGCTCGGTAGTTCAGTTTTCCATCCTGGTGTTGCTGTAGGTTCATGTTCACCTCAGTCCCTCTTTTATTATTTAAATGAATGCACACAGCCAGGCCTTAGGATCCCTGATAGAAAACACAACACAATTGCATTTGGGGTTCAGGTAGTATTCTTTATTGGTAGAACGAACTAGACCAGATTCTATACGGGTATGAGTTCTGGCCTTTCTCTAGATGAACTAAAAGTCTAGAGTCATAAGAATGCATGTTTTTTTGGCTGGTATCTACAGATGTGGGTCTGTCAAACTAAATGCATTCATAAAATGCATTCATAAATGCATGCGTCATAGTACCTCAGCTCAGGGAGCATATCCAACACTCAATATGTAGAATGATAGATAGCTACGTTTGTTGATTCTCCAATCCAGGAAACCTACA